TTCACCTCCGTCACCTGCCAGGATTAACAGGCTGACTTACTCACGAGTGTCTATGAGCAGCCAGTGTCCACCAGTGCCACTCTCTTAATTCCGTTCATGTAAATACCCAAGACGGGTAACGCTTCATTCATAACTCACTTATGGAAGAGACCGGCGCTGACGTCTTGTCCCCTTCTTTTCTCTGGACACAATGAAGCAATGTGGCCTACTTCTTGACACCGGAAGCAACATATTGTTGTGCGTGACCCGTGAGGCAGATGGCCATCTTTTCTTTGAACCGGGCAGTCCCTGGAAAGGTGATTCCACCCAGAGCATCGATAGCATCACATACTCTCCCAATGTTTAACATTTGGATGTTTATCAGCTCTGCCTGGTGAAATGGTAGCCGCAACCATTTCCTCAGTTGCAATTTGATCTTTCATTATGGCCGGAGCTCGGTCTTAACAGTTGGTTTGTATTCATGACTTCCATTATGGAAGACGCGCACTGGTAACCCTGCTATGAACCCACATGCTAATCCTTGCTCCAATATCCCGCCCAATAGACCAGCTAGCTTCTTCAAGTTGGCTAGAAACACGTTGACGGACTCGTCCAGGTGCAGTCGGTGTTCCGCGAATTGTCCGTAAGCCAAGAAACAATCCGGTGCAAAGGCAATCTTCAGGGCTCGTTTTCTCTGCTCGACATCTGATTTTTGTTCCGAGTTTGACTGCTGGTAAATAGCAAATGCTCCGCCTGTCAACCTCAAAGGAAGAACACGTTCAACCTTTTTAATTCCACACAGGTCACAAACAAGTTCAGCCTTCTCAATCCATTCAGTAACTGCTTGTCCAGTCACTGAACCATCAAACTGGTATCAACTTGACGTCAAATGTCTCGTTCGTCATAGTGCCGAAATAGCTTGTAAGCAATCTCAGATTGTGAAGGAAATGTTTGTCGCAGATTATTTCTACATCGCCGAGAATAAATCACTAAGTTCAGACTCGAACATCGGGGACAGAAAGAAAATGCCGAAAACTCAATTTGCAAGTACTATTTCACAAATCACAATCCACGCAACCAGTCAGAAAAATAACTCCCTCGGCAGCCAAAATCGACGACTTTTTTCCTGCCGATTCGAGAACACCAACTGCTTTTAGCTGCCGAACGTTTTTTTTTTCCATTCGTCGACAGCTGGGAAAGGATGTTCAGTAATTTGCATAACAACATACTTTTATAGCGACTCCTGCGATGGACTTGTTTTTTAATTCAAATATTCCATTTTCAGCATATCATGCAGAATACGTGCCCTTTTGTTTGGTAAGTAATTTTCTTTCTCACCACATTTTCCGTCGTAGAATACATGCAACACACTGTCGCTTGGTTTGACGAGGTAAGTCACCATTTTCTTCGCTATAGACGTGCCCTACTAACAGCAGTTATGTTTAGTCTATTTTGTGTTTATATTTAGTTTGTTTTGGGGTTCATTCGCTCCCCTCTCATTTTTCATCATAGAATTGTAAGTATTTATTATCATTAAATTTTTAGGGCATGGGGCGCGTTTTGTAGGTCCCCCTTGTGAGTATGCGGTATTATGGTGTATGGAGGATTGGGTGGTGACAGACAAGTTTTTATGGTGAATGTGGAAATTGTAATGAGTGAATGGGTCGTGAATCGGATTAGCTAGGTATAAGATAGTGACAACCAGCCTTAACCCCCCCTCTTTTCGGCCATGTGCCAAAATTGTGTATAAAAATGCAATAAATATCGTCAGGAACTGAGTCTTTGAGAGATGCCAACAAACTCCACATGCGCCAGCACACTGACTCAACAACCACCACTCTCTCTCAGCAACTCAATTCAAAAAGTCTTGCTGTGCGAATTGACCCAACTTACAATTTACTAGAAAAAGTGACATTATCACTACCGAAGTAGTAATTGTATATTTAATCAACTTACATAACTCCTTATAACTTTAAACAATATTTACAATCGTCATACACATACACACTATTATTTGAACTCACACAAGTGACATTTCACCTTGAAGAAATCAAACTGTTTTAATTTCATAGACAAACCTTAACTACAAGCTTTCATACACCAAATCACTGCATGGTCACTCCTTACAATTTTATCTCACTTATCACATTGAACAAGCAATCTAAAATTCACTTTGTGTATATCAAACGTAAATGCATGTTATTTGTTGAAATCTATAACTATGTTGTTTCTCCTTGATTTCTTCCAATTGAATTGCCTTCAAATGTTTGTTTATTTTATTTGTTTTGGATAAATGTTTAACAAACACGCACATTTTTAAGCCTTCACACAATCTCACCTTCTGACACATCCAATTAGCTCAAATTCCGCAACAATTGTAAGAGAAAGAGATTGAACAAAAATATGTTAACATATTTATTTGACTAGTTTTAGGAAATAAATGTGGTAAATTAAAAACAAAATAGCGTGAAAAAATAAAAAAATAGTTGCAAGTTTCGTCTTGTTAAATTTTATGAAGTTGGACTTTTTGTAAGAGTTTCCTAGTAAGCCAGTACAGTACACTAATCATGAAAAGTTATTGTAAACAAGAAAAATGAATGAAGAGTTTTTTTATAAATAATTTTTTTTTATGAAGGGAATGTACCTAAATTAGATATTAATTAAAAATGAAAATAGTTCTTAATTTCACTTTTAAAATTTGTATATTTCCAGATATGCAGGTCTCTGGTGTAAAATTAAAAATAAAATTGTTTTCTACAAATAAACTGATGTTTCTATCTAGCGAATACACCTAAAATTGAATATTAAAAAAAATAGAGTAAGTTTTAATTTCAGGTTTAAAATGTGTATATTTTCAAAACTGCAAGTTATTTTTCTTAAACCCAAAGTAAAAATTCTTTTTTAGCCACTATAGTTAAGTGGGTGTTCTGCCTATAAAATTCTTCTAAACAAGGAAAATTAATTCATTTTATTTTTAATTTTTACAAATATCTTTATGGTTTTATCTAGTGAATACACTTAGGTAAGATTAGATTAAAATAGTTTTTAATTTCAGTTTTAAAATGTGTATCTAAAAAGAACAGGTGATACTCGCAGATTTGGAAGTTTACACATTCTAAAAAAGAAATTAAATGCTTTTAATTATTTTTGTGTATTCACTAGATAAACATAAATTTATTTATGTGAAAAAATAACTCATGGATTTTCCTCATTTAGAAGAAATTTATTTGTAAAAATCCAATAACAGTTGAGTGGTTGACTGACATACCAGAAAAGAATTGCCATATTTTAAAAAACATGAGGGGTTTCATTCTTTTGGCTTTTTAAAAGCCATATCATAAACTAATTTCTGGAGACTGGAGAGTTATGCCATTTTCTCTCTCGAATGTGTTGTCCAAAGACACAAAAATATAGATTGTTTATGCGACGATTTCTTTTGTTATAGTTGACAATTTATTTGAAAGTTTAATAAATAAACTTTAATTGAAAACAAGTGTTTGTCGATGTCAGACACTTTTTTTTTTTGCTTACTTTATAATTTTTGCAGGAATTCATTTCCACGGGTCAGAGAAGAAATGAACATCTTCCTCGTAGTTTAATGTGTCTTGTTGAGTGTACAATTTCAAGAAAGATTGATCACTTTGATTTTGCAAATCAAAGTAAGTGTAAAATTTAGTCACATTATTAATCATATTTTGTATTTTCGGCTGTTCAAAGCAAAATGCTCACTGTAAAAAAAATAATTCAATGAATTACATACAAATTGCATATTTAGAAAGATTATTTTCTTTCCAGCCATATGAATATTTTTAAGATTGCACGAGAAATACATGATAAATTGCGAGTTGAATGGACTAATTTATCAATCTCAAACGAAATCAGATATTGACTGGAAATGCTATCATTACACAAGAAAATGAATGGTTTCCTTAAAAAGCAAAAATAAATTAAAAACCAAATCGAAAACTGCGGTATTAAAAAAAAAAAAAAAAAAAAATGAAAACTGATACCAAAACATAAATTGCCAAACCACCCAACTCCATGTAAATATTACAGAGTTAATGATTAAGTAAAAAAAAAAAAAAATCAGCCAAAAATTCTTTGGAAGAGTGTGGACAGTATGTATACCCAAGATGAACAATGTGTCAAAAAATTATGTACTGGAAAAATGATAAAATATTATCATCTTTCAGACTTAGGCATTTAATATTTCATGAATAAACTGGCTACTGATCTCAGATCAATTTTCTTTTAACTCGTCTGACCAATTGTGCTACTTTTGAAAATACAGCACTGTTAAATTTTGAATTTTACTACATGTTTTTGGAGCTGCTTTTAAATTAATTAGCTTGGTTGACTTGTAATAAAAAATCAATTAAAACTTTTAGTAGTGTTAGTCTTTGAAATGTAGCCAAATTTAGCAACCCTGAACATAAGCTAATACTTATACATTAACAAAACAGTAACACAGAACAGGTAAATCTTGTAGATGATTTTGATTTATTAACACTATGATGCCATATTTTGTCCAATTCTAAGAGACATCACTAACTAGTTACTTTTGAAGTCTTCTTTGAACAGTCAGATGTCAGTTATTAATGCATCCAAGATTTCCAATTCCAACATCACTCCTTCATAGTCAGCCTATGAACTTTTCAGCCTACCCTCATAGAATAACAATTGTTTTTCAGTTAAATATAAGATATCTTTAGAAAATTTCTGCAGAAAACATGTTACTGAGAACCATGCTAATCATTAGCAATAATCCATTAAATACTATTTTCCCCATTCCATGTTTTTTTTTCCAGTTGCATACAATTACTAAAGTTTAGTGTATATTCTAAGTTAAAAATATAAAATAAAGTTATTTCATGATGAATCAGTATCTAGAATCCATTAAAAAGCAAAACAAATAGCAGGTTGAGAAATAGTGAGCAATAGTAAGTTTCATTAGAAAATTATTGTGAATTATCAATGACAGAATGGCTAGAAGAATAGAAAATAAAAGAAAAAGAACTTACCAAGTATCCATAATACTGGGCATCATAACCACCAACAACATGACTAAAGGCAGAAGAAAAATTTGTGCCAGGTGTGTTTGGGATTTCCATCAATTCCAGGCTAAGTTTTTCAAGAATTTTTTCGGTATCAGCCTAAAGAAAAAAATATGATCATTTTACAATAAAGATGCTAAGTCCACTTTCAGTCATTATATGCTCAGCAATAAGCATTGATAAAGTTTTGTCAGTATTTCTAAATTTCTTGAAAGCCCTTTATGTATGTTCCAGTCTTTTTAGATACATCTAGACTTGTTTAATCATCCATGTGTGCATGTTTATATTAACTAAAAACCTTGTAACAAGCTGCAGTGTTAAAACGGTCAAAAGATTTATTTGCTGGAATATAGATAAAATTAAATCTAATTATTTTCAGTGTTATCAATATAAAATCTGGCTCCAAAAATTTATTTCATGTACTATTTGATGCATCAACCATGAAATATTCTACCTTGGTTCCAAAGTCTAATCAACCCAACTGAGAATTATAATTTGTTTAACATTTTGCAACATGGAATATGAAAAGTGGTTTGGAGTTAAATGCATTCTTACTAAACCTTCTCACATCTTTTGTTGTGTATAAAATAATATGGAAAATAAACACCTGCTTGCTTAAATTTTTAAAATATATCTAACAAGTAAAAATAAGAATTTAGAAAATTTAAAATGACAATGTAATTTTAGAATGATTAAAATTGATAATCAAGTTGAAAAACATACAATGATGTAAATAGTTGAATGGACTGTTAGAGTCAACAAAACGTACTTGCTAATATAACAAGGACTCCTATTTCAGCTACCTTTTTTGTTACAATATTTAATAGTAAAAAATATTTTTAAGCTTAAAGTAATAGAAGGGAATTATATAATCACTATTAATGGTTGCTATAGCCATCATTAACATTTTATATTTTTTAGCAATATCTTACAAGCACAGTATTAGTATTTTTACCAGTACCATCATGATTTCAGATAATTAAAATAAAAACACCAACATACATTTGTCTGTTAGCCCTTATACAACCCCAAATATTAATAAGCAGAAAGTGATTTTGTCTTAGCTATAAGAGAAGTTTCTGATCTTCAAGAATGCCATCTTAAAAGTATGATGAGAGAGAGAATGTGTGTGTGTGTGTGTGTGTGTGAAAGAGAGAGAGAGAGAGAGAGAGATTTGTATTGTACATTCAGTGTGCATGTGTTATACAAATTACAAATTTTTTTTGATTCTTTGGAAAACAGAAGTCTATGTTCCTTGACCTCACCTTGTTTTGGCTATTTTCTGTTTAGTATCCTTTCTTATTTTTTAATAGAGTTTTGCTAGTGATTTCTATCTAGAAAGCTACACCTAGTTTAATTGACAAAATGAGAACAATCTGTTAATTCTTTCTTTGGTTGATAGATTTATTATTTACATTATTCAAACTATTGTCCTCATCTTTGTCGACATATTTATTACAACGTTTCAGCCGTTGTACACTCTGGCCTTCTTCAGGTGGTTGAAATGTTGAGCTTAACCCTTTATTTTGCTCACTGGGGTAGACTGTTCTAGTTCCACGTTTAATGGATGTCAGTTATCAGTTATCTCCTGTTAATTTCCCTCTGAAAGTTCTCCACTGCCTTAACTGGGTATTGAACTCACACTCTTTGGGTCCTGTCACTGGATCTAACCAATGCCTTTATCCACTGTGCCATATGTCCTCAAGGACATAGGACAGGAGATAACTGATATCCGAATAATGTAAATAATGTACATAATACAGAAATGTAGACAAATATTGATAGATTTAATATGATTATATGGATATACTAGCTATACTTCAACCGGGTCTTTCATTAATGGGAATTTTTACTGTTCAATTGGAGCAATTTACGTTTAAAGTCAGCCCACCTAAAAATCAATATTAGTAACAACAATTGGATGCAACTGAGGCACATCCCCAAATTGGGTGGGGCTGGGTTTGGTAACAATTTGAAGGGCTGAACAGGGCTGTTTTTGTATTTTCAATCTTGTTTCAGCCTCATGCACAGTAGCAGTTGAAGAGGCATTTCTTCTCAGCCATTGATCATCATTTTCAGCCTCGCATGTAGAAGTGTTCAGGTATGCTCTTCTGGAAAGCCAATGACTACATTGATCTTCGGACTGTGATTGAAGCATTCCAAGAGGCATTTTAAGACAGGCAAACTGAACATTCTAAAGTCAATTTGTTATCTCTTATTTGCATGGCAGACCTGGCAGCAGTGGTTTTGTGACCTAGGCATGTTCTTTTCTTTGGTGGCATGTCTTAGACAAATATGAATTGTCAAATGGAATGCATAGGCAAATACCAGAAGAGAATGCTGCAAAGCTACAGGGATCACTAAGCTTGAATAATTTTAAGAAAGGTTCAAAAAATGTTGAGTAATAAAAAAGCAAGCTTACTTATTACTATAGTGAATGCAATGTAAAAACTGCAGGGCAATAAAAAAATTTAAATTGGGAATGGCTATAAATGACAATGAAAGCAACACCTTATAACTGTAGTAGTAGGCGTTATGCAATCAAAAAGGTAACCTCACTTGAGAAAGATTGATGCTTGGCCAAGAGAAGGGAATATGTAATTTGGGCTCAAGACCAGCACTGAAGAATTATCTATCAAACAAAAAAATTCCATCAAAATCGGATGAAAACTGGAAATGCATAAACAACAATCTGATCACACACACACATTTTGAGAATTATAGATATAGATAATATCATTGTAACAATTTCAAGTATTTATTTTTATTAAAGTTTTTATGAAAAATATATATCCAAGAACAGATAGTAAATAGTAAAATGTTTCTGAGATTTATAATGGACACGAAGTAGTGGAGAGCCATTGTCACCAACATTTTGGACTCAAAAGTGGCACTGAAGAATTATCTATCAAACAAAAAAAAAATTCATCGAAATTGGAAAAAAACTGGAAATGCGTAAACAACATCCGATCACACACATTTTGAGAATTATAGATATAGATCAAGGGAGAAAGACACACAAATACATGCACCATAAGTCTGTGCAAAAAACTTAATATGTTTAGAGGTACAAAACTTTATCACTACCATAAACAGACAAAAATTAATTTTATTATTACCACTCATAATAATAATAAAAAGTAAAAATGAAAAATGGGCTAGCTAACCGGTTTCGAACCTCACTCAACAGAGCTAAATCGAGGTTAATAAATTATTTAAAAAGAAAAATGGACAAAGTGTATTGGGTGGGGGGAAATACATGGTAATTAGTTGGAGGCCTAATACAAAGTCCTTCTGTTTACATAGAGAAGGCTTCAATGATAGAATACAGATGGCCTCCAACACTTTTAGGTGGTAATTAGAGTGGGACTTACTAAGGATGGTAAATGAGTCCACACTAAAACTAACAGCACAATTATGGCTATTTATTAGGTGTTCTGCGATAGAAGACCCATATGTATTGGTCAAAATGTATGAGGGAGTGTACTTAAGGTTTCGGATTTTCGCTGGACCATGTTGCTTTATTCTAGCATCCAGCATTTGAGCCATTCTCCCTATGTAGTGCAAACCACAACTACATTTAAAAGAATAAATTAACAGACTATTATGATGTGGAGGGAGAACATCCTTACGCATAAATGGAAGGACAGGCTTGGTAGAAAAAACAACACGAGTGTTAGTGGCAAAGTAACAATGTCAAACTGTGGTAGAAACCTGCTTAGCAAACCTATTACTGATACTACCTAGCCAAGGAAGGTGTAGGTACACAGGACATCTTTTTACTATAGCAGGTTTGACTTTGTTGAATTCAGCAATTTTATTCTTAATAATTGCTTGAACAATGCCTAATGGGTAGGCATTGTTGCAGAGAGTAGAAGTAATAAACCTAAGTTCATCATCCAACTTGATTTCAGAACAGATCATAAGAGCCCTATGGGTAAGGATCTTAATTAAATTAATTTTGCGCTTCATAGGACAAAAAGAATCCCAACGTGTATACAAACCTGTAAACATCGGTTTACAGTAAACAGAAGTAATAAAACCCAACGCAGATCTGCTGACCAGCACATCAAGAAAGGGAAGAGACAAATTAACCTCCTTTTCCTGTGTAAATTTTAAAGCTGGATGCATATTGTTAAGGGACGCAAGAAATTGGTCCGCTTTAATCTTGCTATCAAAGAGACAAAAAGAGTCATCGATGTAATGGAAATAAACGTCAGGTTTATCAGATTTTAATAATACACTCTCTTCTTGGAACCCAACAAAGATATTTGCTAAAATGGGCCCCAAAGGGGAACCCATCAAAACACCATCAATCTACCCGTACATGATGCCATTGAAACTGAACTCAACTGACATCATGGCAAATTTCATCAGTTCAATAAACACGTCCTCCTTTATATCTTAAACATATTACCTATAAAAATGACACGATTATGTATAGATGAGCACTTCAGTCTTCACATCAATATATCTGTGCACTCTGCTTAAATCAAAGTATTAATCCCCAGACTTTAGCCAAGGATCAGTGTAGTAGCTGTGCTGTCTGACTAATTTGGTGTTTGTAAGTTAATTTTACTGTGCCACCAAAGTAGCAAAATGGATATATTCAAATCAGGGCATGATTCAATTGCTCATTTTATATCTGTTTGCTTTAGCATGACAGAAATTATAATCAGAAAAAAAAGCCCCAAAGCAAAAGAGAAAAAGTAACTGTTTATTATATGTTTGTGATATAACCCCTAACAATATTGGAAGTGCGACATAGGATGGAAGTTCATGGCACTTTCCAACAAAACTACGAATGATAAAACTAGCAGCTTCCATACAGGAAACATTTAGCATTCATTAACAGAACAGTATTATTATGAGTTGAAATTTATAAATCTTTTTATTAAAAATAATTTTCCAGGAATTTAAATATCTCAATTCCACTAAATATTACAGCACTTTCTAGTACAGATGGAAGTTTCCTTCCAATCTTTTTGTCTCGCAACCCAAAATTCTGTCAGGGATCAATGAATAATGTATCAAGAAGAGAGCGTGTGGAATGACTGTTCTTATAAAGTCCCTCTCACAAAAAAAGATGAGAAGCAGAC